CATCTTTATCACAATAAAACCTTTTCCAGGTTCCATTAAGTGTTGTGATTACATGGGCATTTGCGTTCTTCTTGACAGCTGGGGGAGCATATAATTATAAGGACTGCAGCTCTGACATACCAAGTTCGAATATCCTTATCGATGCATGTAGAAAGCATGTGTATACAATGAGACATTGTCGGACTGATGTTTCTAATGCAATGACAACTGCTGAATGGTTCAGAATCCCTTATCCTTTGCAGTGGGGTATGCCTATCTTCTGGCTTAGGACATCTCTTGTTATGATAATTGTGTCACTAGTTGCTACTGTTGATTCGGTAAGTGATCAACTTCCCGTTATGAATACTTTTGTTTTTTTTCTTGCTGCTGTGTGTTTGCGAGTGTGTGTTTCTTTTTTCATCGATAGTCTTGTTTAGCATTTTTCTGAAGTACATTTTAGGGGAATTTTTAGGATATATATGGAATCCAGAATATGGTAGGGAAGGAAAAAAACACAAAGGAAAATGAATGGGTTGTAATAATAGTTTGTAAAACCAATTAATATGATATGTTTAGAAACAACTTTTAAAATTACTACTCCCTCCGTCCCATATCTTTCTCCTTGTTTTGACTCGGCACTCTTTTGAGTACAAGATGAAAAGATATTTGACTTTTTTATATTTCCCTTTGTGGTGTAATACATTGATTGAAGAGAAATGTCAAAAAGGTGAATTGTGCAAAAGTAAAGGTAAAATAGTCTTTTAGCTGTAAAAAAGTGAATAATATTTCCATTTAACCCTAAGTTCTATTTCCTTCCAAATTTCCCTACATTTTCTTTCTTGTTTTCTTTATTTTGCTTTTTTGCGGATCCCAAAGTCCAAATGTACCTTTAGTTTGAAACTGAAGCAGGGTGAAACTTAACAGGTTGGTACTTATCATTCTGCATCCATGAGAATCAACCTGAAACCTCCAACTCCCGGCATTGTGAGCAGAGGAATTGGTTTAGAAGGGTTTTGCAGTGTACTGGCTGGGCTTTGGGGAACAGGCACTGGAGCAACAACATTGATAGAGAATGTGCACACAATTGATG